CTGCTTCTCCCTCTCCCACTCCCCCTGCTTGTGTTCCTGCTCTCGCTGTGTCTCTCTGTCAAATAAATAAAATCTTTTTAAAAAAATAAATAAATAAATAAATAAAAGAAAAGTTCTAGGGCGCCTGGCTGGCTCAGTCAGAGGAGCATGCAATTGCATTCTTGATCTCGGGGTCATGAGTTCAAGCCCCACGTCGGCTGTAGGATTACTTAAATAAATAAAACTTTAAAGAAAAAAAAAGAGTTCTAATATTGGCTTTACTAAAAACTCGTTATGACCAGAAAAAAGGTACTATATGTGTATCAAATGAGGGAAAAAATATTAATGGATCTAGTAATTCAGTAATTACTGATATTAACGAAGAGCAAATAGTACAACTTAGCAATGGCTACATGTCTATTTCTTTCCGCAATTACAATAGTCCCCCCCTTATCTGTGGGAGATACATTCCAAGACTCCTAGTGGATGCCTGAAACCACAGATAGTACCAAACCCAATATATACCGTATTTTTTTCTATACATACTTATAATAAAGTTTAATGTATAAATTAGGCACAGTAAGATATTAGTAACAACTAATAATAAACTAGAACAATATTAATAATATAGCATAATAAAATTTTGTGAATGTGGTCTCTGACAGTATCTTATTGTACTGTACTCACCCTTCTTTTTGTGATGCTATGAGATGATAAAATGCCTACGTGATGAGATGAAGTGAGAGGAATGGTGTAGGCATCGTGATGTAGCGTTAGGCTACCACTGACCTTCTGACAACATGTCAGAAGGAAGATCATCTGCTTCCAGACTGGGGTTGAACACAGGTAACTGAAACCATGGAAAGTGAAACCATGGATAAGGAGAGACTAATTTATGTATCCTAAGGAAAGAAGGTACCTGAAACTTAATGTTGGCATATTCCTACCTCTTCTCCTTCACAGCTCCGCAAAAAAAAGGAAGCTATGAATTATTTATCCCTAACATCATTTATTTTTTCATTGATTATAAGACTGTAATTCCATTATTTGAAAGATGACTGATAAATAATATTAAACTCAACAGTCAACCAGGACTTTATATCAAACTAAACAGTACATGAGAATTTAATTTGATAAATGTTTCATGTGTCTACTACATGCTGGGCAACACAGTAAGACGAATTCCGTGCCCTCGATGGATTTAGTCTAATCGGAGAGAAATAACATTAAAATGAAAAATAAAAGAAATGCCTCCTATACAAACTCCATCCAGAGATGAGAACTCTGAAACTATGGGAAATAGCTTTGCAAATTTTTTCATGTATATATATGTACATATATCCACTTTTTTTTTAAATAGAAAAACTCCAATATATTGTTCTGTAACCCTTTTCTCTACATTATTCTATGTCAATTAGTATACTTTAAAAATCACCATTTTTAATGAGCTGCAGAGTAGTATTGCATTGCCAAAATTTAGCCAGTACTCTGTTGCTAAATGTTCATACTTAAATTCTTTTAACTCAGGAAGGGGGACTAGGGGTATGGAAATCAGAGAAAAAAAAATTATAGCTAGCATTATTAACAGCTGTAAATTTAGTCAAGATGTTCTATAAAGCCAACTAAGGAGTTCATCTCCAAAAGACGTGTTTTTAATAGTATCTTATGGAGGTATTCTAATTAATTTATTAATCACACCAAATGAATGAATGCCCCACTCCAAAAAGAACTTGAGAATTCTTATATATTGTTCCTGTGAGTCCTAGATACTACAATTAGTGTGTCACTAAACACATACACACTCCTCCATCACAGACTTCCAGAACACAGAGCTTAATGTCTTGGTATCCTTATCTCTACTCCCTCCCCCTCCCTGCTACTGTGAATATCCTATTCCAGGCCTTAACATTACTTTTATCCCCAGTATTTGCAATGACTCTTTCTGACTTCAATCTCTGCGCATTCCAAATAATCCTATACAATATTTCCATATAATACTTCCTGAAGCAAAATATAACCCTAATCCCTATTATTAGAGAATAAATATTGCCCGTCTATTATTTAATACTTTTGGTATTCAGTTTGGCCAATAATCCACCTTCCAATCTTATCATCTACTACTTTCACTCAAACACCCTCCAGTCAAATTCTAGTATATAGTACTCAGATCTTTGAAAAGCTTCCAACTTCCTACTGTATCACATATACATTTCTCTCATCTGAAATGTACATGGTCAAAGAACATTTATAGAATCAAAGATCAGGAAGGGATCTTGAAGATAACCTAGTCTACTCACCTTAATTTGCAAATGAGTAACTTTTATCACTTACACAAGAACCCACAAAACTCCCATTTTAGCACCCTTTCCATTACACAGTGGTTCTCAAACTTTAGTATGCCCAACTACCAACCCAGTGGTTATTAAAAAGACAGATTTCCGGGGCACCTGGGTGGCTCAGTTGGTTAAGCGCCTGCCTTTGGCTCAGGTCATGATCCTGGAGTCCCAGCATCGAGTCCCACATGGGGCTCCCTGCTCAGCGGGGAGTCTGCTTCTCCCTCTCCCTCTGCCTCCACCCCCCTGCTCAGGCTCTCTCTCTCAAATAATAAAATCTTAAAAAAAAAAAAAAAAAAGAGGGAGAGAGAGAGTTGCATGCTCTACCAACTGAGCCAGGAAGGAGCCCCAGCCATCTCTCATTTTTTAATAAATTC